CCACACGCTCAGGGCGAGCCATAACTAGGAGATCCGAAATTGACTTCTCTTTCTTTTGATTTGTTTTTTAAACAACAGCTCTCTGTCGTATAGGGATTGCTATCCTGGTGTTCCTAGTTTTCGTACAGATTCATTAAACTTGATTTGCTCACAGTAGGAACATTTTGCTTTCATTTTAGTCGCGTAGTTGGTAGCGTAGTTAATTACGTCAATGTCAACCCTCGCGCGCGCGTATCGTGTAAACCATGCCTTGCGTGATGCGCAGAACATGTGCCCACTAACAAAAGTAGGTACCATTGCTTTCTTCAAGGTGCTTTGCAAGCTTGCTTCGATCGTGAATTCGTTCACGTGGTTTGTTGACCTGCTTCGTCGATAGCCTCTAACGTTGGTTAGCTGATGAGCATTTTGGAGCTTCATTTCTTTTCGGCTGTAGTCTGCTTTCTCCCTTTAACTAGGCATCTCATTATTTTCTTTTGTAGATGAAACAACGACGACGTCACCAGCATCGGTAAGAATTTTGTTGTTCTTCTCGTTCTAGGATGAAAACCTTATTTGAACATCCCAGGAAACTATTCTAGCCTAGTGTAGGCGCGAGTCGGTTGTATAGATGCAATTGATATTATCTTTCGGTCAATAACTGCGACGCCACAGTATCCCGGCACAGTATCCTTACTTTTGGAATTTACCTCAAGATACCACAAAATCTCCTTACACTTACATTCCTCAAGCTTTAGTGCCAACCTACATCCGATATGTAAACATTATTTAGTTTTACTCAGCTCGATTAGCTTTTAAGTTATTGTGAGTAAATGCTACCTTCATTTGTATTGATATATTATACTGTAATTTAAGTTTAACTTTTAATCTGGTAGTAAAGCTTGTTGCTGTTGTTGTTGAAAACCCGGGAGACTGATGAATGTGTGTTACATTCTCATGTTACATTCTGCGCAGTTTGACCTTGCTGACTTAGCCTGAATGTGTTTCTTTCATTTTCCCTTTTTTCTTTATTTTTATCCATTCAAATCGTGATGTGCTTCATACGTTTTGTTGACCTATACTCTCCAGGTGAGACAGAGCATCTACTTGAGTGGAGATGATACAAACCTTCGCAATCCTCGTGAGTAAAGTAATAATAATGATAATGATAATGACAGTGACAGTGACAATGACAATGACAATGACAATGACAATGACAATGACAATGACAATGACAATGATAATGATAATGATAATGATAAAAATAAAAATAACATATCTTTAGCCAGGAGGCAACCGTAACCTCAGGTGAAGTTTATTATTAAACCGTCTAATTAATCCACTGCCCTTTCTGTTCCACTGACCTGAAGATTTTAAGCTCAAGGAATTCATGCTAAACGGTTTTTGCTTTTCATGAGATCTAATCCTTGCGACGATTAAACACGGAGCGATCCTATAAAAGGTAAGGACACGCCACCTTTGAAGCACTTTGTTGGAATGCCGAAATAACGGTCGAATAACATAGAAGAGAAATACGTCACTTCACGGAACATTCAAATTTTCGCCGTTAACTAAAATAACAAAGCTGATGCCTGCGATCAACGAGCTATCTGTTTCCATTTATATCAGCATGCCGAGAACGAAAGCGAATCCCGTAAGAGGTGAATTTGGTTAGCCTGTGAACACAGACGGATTTTGGTGGGATATTTAAAATTATTCAGATTTATGAGCGTTACGATGATGCAAACAAAATGCAAATTGAACAACGCTGAGTTATTCCTCGAACTGTTCTATGATATTCAGAGCAACGAAACTGCAAACAAAAAGTACCGCGAAGAAACAAGAGAACTAGAGAAATGGCAAAGTGAGATTTGGCCTGAATATTGACGTTAGACAGGAGAAGGAAGACTCATGGCTGAGTGCAATAAAAACAAAAATTGCGTTCGTAAAAGGCCGACTGAATTTTAGCAGCAAGAGTACAACAGTAGCCAATGTTCACCTTATGGAATCTCTTCTAGATAACCGGCTGAAGAATAACCATGTTACCGTAGATATGATATATTACCTTCGCAGTCTGCTTGTATCTGTTTTTTTTTTTTTTACGAGTTTTAGTTTCCAAACCTATTTCTCAATCGCGTTAATTCTCGAAGGAGCATGGCATCAAAAGAACTAGACAAGGCATTTTATAAATTTGAGTGAACAGCTCGAATTCATTCGATAGGCTTTCGCAAGTGGAGGAACAAAATTATGAAGTTGAAATTAAAAAAGTCAATTTTCTTTGTTAACTCTTCTCCTGAAGCTATCGTTTATTTAGTTGAAAAGGCATTGCTTACTTGTAAAATAAAACAGAAAATTACACCCGTCGCTCCCCAGAATTTTGTGGCAACGCGAAACGCGCTAAAATTAGACCTGAGTGAATAAGCCAATCAAATGGGAGCATTGGTCGTCCGTAGGGATTTGTGATTGGCAGGCTTAACACCTCAGCCTCGTTATATAGGATCGCTCCGTGTTCAATGCCAAAGAGGTGCGCACGACTTAAGATGTAAAATATCAAACACGGAAGACCGTGTTTGATATATTACATCTGAAGTGTTTGACCACATTTCCAAACACCGAGAAGAGAGTTAAAAAAAACGACGCGCAGCGGAGTATTTTTGACGACCTTCGAGGTGTTTGGAAATGTGGTCAAACACTGTCTTGAGTGTTTGATATAACTTCTCAATGGAAACGAAAACTAAGGAGAAAACAGAGAAATTATATTGTAGAAAACTATGCTAATTAAGATCAGATATCTAAACACCGTCACGGTGATAACTTTCTTTGTCTAAACTTGATGAATTATTAATGAGTTTGAGAGAGACATAGAAAGGACGTCACTGAGACCAGAAAAAAAAAAAAAAAAACGTAGACCAGTAGTTAGTAGTCAGCAGTGTTTTTCATAAATATCTAAATTGATCTGGGGTTATGGCTGTGATCTCAGGACTTATCCCTAAGAGATTGCCGGAAGGGACAGGAAAAGGCCCTTTTCCAGAGTACACTGTATTCACACTTCACTCATCGAGGATTTGAACATCTGTTTTGTTAACAGTTAGTCATGTGATAACAAACTGGATCGTCCGTGACAAGATGGGCGCCATTAAATACGACCAAGGTTTTATCATAGTCGGTAGAACCGGACACTACTTCATATACAGCCAAATGTACTATAACGACGCCCGCACACATTTAATGGCACACCAAACTTACGTCAACAATGAAAGGGTTATGGAGAGTGTTGGAAGCGCTCTTAATGACAGCACAAAGGATAACACCAGATATCACGGTGGAGTTTTCCTTCTCCGCGTGAACGACACCATATCAGTTCGTATACCGTACCTCCGGCAGTACAACATGAAAAGTGATGCCAGCTTTTTCGGAACATTTTTATTGTACCCTGGTGAATCGCCCTGATTGGATCACGCTAAAGGATATCCCTGATAATGCAGCATTGACACAAGAAACAGAATCAATTTCACTTGAGAACTCAAACAGTTGCAATCGATTAATTTTTTTAAGTATAAAAAATATCATATGTTTTGTATTGTAACCAGTTTAAAGCTAAACTCTATTCCTTTCTGATTGATATCCTAAAACAGCATCATGATTACATTGATATTCCCCAAATCACTGCAGCCTTAAAGAAACACAAATATGATTCGTTGTTCTCTACTCAAGTTGATGAAATGGTTGATGCCTACATGTTATTCTTTTCACGTTGTTATCCTCAGATTAAGTTATCTAGCGTAGAACTAATTTAAAAGTAATGTTAATATTTTTTTTATTTCTTCGTCTCTCTAGTTGTTTGTCATGTATTATTTTGTTATTTAAGTAATCTGATAATAACTGATCGTGCCAAATTAGCCCAATGCTACTATCGGATCAGTTTTACATTTGTATTAATCATTAAATGTAATTGAAATAAAGTGTGTATCTATTAAGTGTGTATATTTTCATTGGGTGGAATTAATCGGTTGAATCCAATAGTAAATGCTGTGATTTATGTTTTAGTAACCAATTTTAAAATTACTTTACCCGACCTGATTCATTTCTGAATTGTAACATTCATTTCACACTCGACCTAAATTAGAATTAAAGAACTCACTGAAGCCGGTATCAACAATTCAGAAACTTTGTTTGTTAGAACTGCAACGGAACTGTTAAGAGCAATACAAATAAACGCCATAGAGTCTGCAATACCAGAGACTATGTAGCTGAAGTGTGACTCAGCCCAACCAGACAAAAATCTCTCGTTAGCCCGATTCTTGCCATCACCTTGCATCCAGAATTTAGTGGTCGCAGGTTTGTTTTGGTAAAATGAGACAAATGAGAAGTCGCAAGGAAATTGACAATCAGAACTAAACTCTGAACTCGGTCGGACAAGTTGTAAGTGGAAACTATACAGAGAATGAAGATTTTGTCCCTTAAGAGGTTTAAGCGTTATTGGACATAATTATAGACTGTGCTTTGAA